GTGCTTCAATTTTGCTGAGGCTGGCTTTGAACTCACAATCCTCCCGCCTCAGCCTCCCGAGTTGTGCTTGGCCAGATCTGTATTTTTTTTTTTTTGGTGGTGCTGGGGGTTGAACCCAGGGTCCTGTGCATGCTAAACAAGCACTCTACTAACTAAGCTGTACCCCTAGCCTACAGATCTGTTCTTAAAGCAAATTAAATTTGTTCAAGAAAAACTCACCTGTGTTGGTAGAAGCCAGATGGTTACCTGGGAGCAGGGGTGATTATCGACTGGGAAGGGGAAGACACCTTTGGAGCAATGGAAACGTGCGGTATTTGTATCCCAGTGGCAGTTACCTGGGTGGCTGTATGCACCGACCTCAGCCCTGGTGCATGTGCGGTCTGCTCTACGTTAGACCTCTGTGTAAAACAGGAAGTCCTCAACCAGGAATTGATGGCCAGTAGAATGTCAGCTCCTGGAGAGAAGGGCGTTGGGCCCAGAGCCAGAGCACTGATCTGCACATAGAAGACCCTCAATTAAAACCTATAGAACGGTGATAGAAAATGCTCCTGGTAAAATATTAAATGAAAGAAAAAAGGCCCAAAGTTATACAGCATTTAAGTGTACTGTCAGTTCAATGTTATAAAAACTGATGAGCAGGAGAAAAACACCGGAAGGGAATAGCATGAGGGGGTGGGGGCACTGTGTTGAGTGGTGGGATTTGTGTGTGTTGGTGCTGGGGATTGAACCCAGGGCTTCATCGTGCAAGGCAAGCCCTCTACCACTGAGCCACGTCCCAGCCCTAAGTGGTGTGGTTATAAGAGATGGGTTTTAGAACTTCTTTGGTGAATATCTGTTTTCGGTTTTGTCCAGGATTCTGTGTGTGACTTCATTTGGAAATAACAGCTAACATTAGTTGAGTGGTTATTCCATGCCCGGCTCTACAGCTACAGAAATGCACTTTATATTTCAGCGTATAGAATTTTGATACCAACCCTTTCGAGTAGGTATCCCCGTCTTACAGATGGAGAAACTAAGGCACATAGAAGTTAAGGAAACTACCAAAGATCACCCAGCATTAAATGGCAGAACAGGGAGGTGGCCCAAGAGCAGTTGTGGCTCCAGAGGATGAGTTAACTACTGTGTCACTGCCCCTCCAAAATGAATGTCAAAAGCCTTAATTTAAGGCCTTTGTGACAGGTGAGGCCCCAGACAAATGTGCTTCTCTGCTCTCCCCTCCCTGTGATTGACCCTGAGTCCTGGGAGACGCCGGGATAGTGAGGCCCCCCTAAGTTGCTGAGGGATGGAGAAGTGAGCAGGGTGTGGGCGAGCAGAGCGGTTTTCCTGGGCGGGAACAGATGTTCTGACATCTGATGCCCCACTCCAGAAGCCTGGGGAGGGCCCCTCTTCCCGGCTGGCCCTGTCCCTGCCCCCTGGGGTTGTCACAAGACCTGAGCCAACAGGCCAGGTCCTGCTGTCCATCCACAGGAAAGCCAGCTTCCTGGAAGCCATCCTGCCTGCCCCTCCCAGGCAGCCCAGTTCCTGGAAGTTAAAGGAGCTGGCCTCGGTGTGAGGGGTGCGGGGCGCTGGGCCTCAGCACCTTTCTTTGGCTTTTGCCACCTGCGGGAGGGGAGAAGACGAGGGCTCGATGTCGCTGGCAGATGGGACTTGAGTGTCCCTTTCCAGCTCACCTGGTCAAGTTACCTGACTTCTCAGGAGTCTCAGTTTCCCCATATATAAAATGAGATACTCAAAGATCCTGAAGGGCTAGCCATAGCATTGAGAGCAACTGGGTCCCCACAGCCTGGTACCCTGGTACTGCTTTAGCACTCAGAAACAAGGTAGCCATGGCGACTATTATTAGACTATCATCATCCTGCTGCCCTCCTCCTCCTGGGGCACAGAGGTGCTGAGAGATGGGCTGGAGGCCCTGGATGTCCTGGCCCAGTTATTAATACCCATGGCCCCTCCAACTTTGGATTTAGCATTCCAGTGACGAGGGGCACAGGCTGGAGGGCAAGGCTGGGAACAGGTGGCAGGGCTGGACAGGAGCCACCGGCCTCCCTCTGGATGGGAGCAGTCCTCCCCAGCCTTAACAGAGACCTGGCTCCTCTCCCAGACACCCTCCACCTGCACTCTAGGGCCCCAGAATGTGTGAAATTCCTGTCTGAAGTCAGGCTGGGGCAGCCATCACCTTAGTCCACTAAGGACACAGCACTGTCCTTCCAGGGATGGGATGCCCAAGACAGTAGGATCCGCTGGGCAACAGAGGAATTGTGGACTGTCCAAGTTAGACGCGGCTCAGGGAACCCCAACCTGCCAGAAGTGGTTTTGAACTCGGCTTTGGACTCAGACCAGAGTGACCAGAAAACCTGTGTGTCCTCCAGCCTCCATTTGCTGGGCCATTAACCAGGGAGGGTAGTGACTCAGAATGCTCCTGCGTAATGGCACCGCCTTTGTAATGGCACCGCCTTCAGAACACTCTGAGCCCAATCCCCAGTACTGAAAAAAAATAAGTAATATAATTATTTTCATTTGGCTGTTGAAAAAGCAAGTGAGATAACATAAAGTAGGAAATTAGTGAGCAGTGTCTAGCAAATAGTGGGTGTTGCTATCCAACCTGTCTAGTCATGGGTGACTTCTTTATGTTTCTGCCACATGAGTGGTGGCAGACCTTGAGGAACAAAGCCCTCCCTGGAACTTCTCACTCCACCACCTGAACTAACGGTTACACTGCACAATGCTTCTTTGTTTTTTTCTTGTATCAGTATTTTAAAAATTAATAGCCCTTAGTTATTTTTAATATTAAATATCGTTTACTGAAGACCCATTATAAAAAGAATACCTTGCCGGGCATGGTCACACTTGCATATAATTACAGTGACTCTGGAGGCTGAGGAAGGAGGACT